GGAAGGATAGATGGATGGATAGATAGATGGATGATATATGGAAGGATGGATGGATGGTTCTATGGATAGATTGATGTGCGGGTAGATGAAAAGATAAATGAATGGATGGATGGAGGAAGGATAGATGGATGGATTGATAGAAAGACGGACGGATGGATCTAGGGATGGATGGATAAATAGATGAATGGATGGATAGATGGATGATATATGGAAGGATGGTTCTATGCATAGATTGATGGGTGGGTAGATGAAAAGATAAATGGATGGATGGATGGAGGAAGGATAGATGGATGGATAGATAGAAAGATGGATGGAGCTGGGGATGGATGGATAAATGGAAAGATGAATGGATGGATGGAGGAAGCATAAATGGATGGATAAATAGATAGATGGATGGATGGATCTATGGATGGGTAAATGGAAAGATAAATGAATGGATGGATAGATGGATTTTATATGGAACGATGGATGGATGATGGATGGAGGAAGGATATAGATGGATGGAAAGCTGGAAAGATGAATAAATGGATTGATGGATGGATGGATGATATATGGAAGGATGGATAGATCGATGGATCTCTTTCTCTTCCATAACTCCCACTAATCCAGCTTTTTATCCAAATACATCCAACAGTTCCCATTTTTTTCTGGAGATCGAAGCTTTCGAGAGCAACGTATCGCCAAGCCGGACGTCTCCTCCCATCTTCTCCAAGCCAATGGACTCCAACATCCGCCCGTGGTGGGTACCGATGGATTCCTCTGTTTTATTGGATTGATAAGCCCTCCCCCCCGGGGCCCCCCCCCCCCAAATCCCCCAAAGCAAGGTGGGATGAACACTGCACAGAAATGAGCACATATCCCATATCCCACCTCCATTCAGACGTCCTCCTCTTCCAGGGTGGAGGAGGGGAAGGAATGGAAGAGCTAAGGGTTCAAAAAAGATGAATGATGTAGCCACAACCATGGGATAAAAGTCCTTTTTATTTACAATTGTTCCCTCTTAAAATTTATTTTAAAAAAACCCCTGCGCAAGATTCAATCCTATGTAGAGGCTAATTGTGATGACCCAAAAGGGCGTGGCACAAAGGCAACATAGTTAAATAAGCAATAAGAGTCCCTTTGATACCTCCAACTTTGCCCCCAATGTCCAGGTTACCTTCGGCTGGAGAGAAAAAAAAAATGACTCTCCCAAGAACAGCCTTTAAGTGGCGAAAATTCAGTCCAAAAACAAAGTACATGCAAACCGTAACTAAAAATCCACGCAAACTGTACTGCAGTAATTAACTTGACAGGGCAGGAGGAGGAATTGCAGGCTTGAAAGGCCAGCAAAACACACACTGTTGAGAAGATGCCAGATAAGACTTGACGATATCAGATAATTCACAATTTGCTTCCAACAAGTTGCTGTGCGCAGCTTCCCTTTTTTAAACACTGAGTTCCCAAGCTGCGGCTTATGAAGGGAATCAGGGCCCTTTCCTCTCCCGTAAGCCACGCAACTCATGTTGCTCCCTTCTCCCTTCTTCCCTGTGTGCCCTAGGATGAAGAGAGGGTGGGCCTGGGTCTTCCTCCAAACTCCCTCTGCCTTGTTCTACCTCCCCCTGGCTCTGCCCAGCCGGACTTTGCCCTTCCTCGGTTTCTTCCACAGCGAACGGAGCCACACTCCCACTCCCTGTCAGCTGCTCGCCCCCCCCCCCCTCCGAATCAGATTCTGACAGGGGCATGACACTAATATTTGGAATAGACTCTCCTGCTTGAGCAGGGGGTTGGACTAGATGACCTCCAAGGTCCCTCCCAACTCTTGTTATTCTATGATTAAACACAGTTATGAAATCCGGCCTGTCGGCTAGTCCTTGACATATGACCACGAGGGAGCCCCCAAATGTCCATTGCTAAGCGAGACAGTGGTTGGGAGTCCTGCCCCGTTTTCCACGACCTTTCTTGCCACTGTTATTAAGCGAATCGCTGCAGACGTTAAGTGAGTAACAGGCGTTGTCGAGTGAATCTGGCCTCCCCGTTGACTCAGCTTGTCCGAAGGCTGTAAAAAGGGGATCGTGTGACCGCAGCAAAACTGTGACCGTCAGAAGCACGAGTCGATTGCCAAACATCTGAATTTTGATCACGGGGGCCATGCAACGGTCCTAAGTGTAAAAAATGGTCATAAGTTTTTCAGTGGTATGGTTATAACTTCAAACAGTCACTAACTGAGCCGGTTGTAAGTCTAGGACTATCAGAATACACCCTGTCTGTGGCAATGAGGACCTAAGTTTGTTCAGGGCGCGTCCTATCCTGGCCCTAAGCTGAAAAGCTTCTCCTCCACTTCCTCAAACTTTGAAATCTCAGAGGATTTTCCTTAAGAGCTTTGAACCTAGCGTGGGAAGGGTACCCTGGAGGTCATCTAGTCCAACCCCACCCTTGCTCTGTGCAGGAATCCAAGGGAAGGTATCCCAGAACAGAGGAGGTTGTGCAACCAACCTCTCCTTGAACATGTCCAGCTTCTTCTACAACCACAATTTCCACAGTTGTTGCAAACTTGGGAATTTTAAATTGTGGGTTCCAAGGAGGAGAAATTCAAGCAGGATCTTGCCGGCAAATTCGCAAAAGTCGTCGTCTTCTTCCAAGAATTGACTGGTGGCAGAAATAATCGGACCGTTGGTTCAGACGTACCTCTTGACCTCGGCATTTATTTATTTTTTCCATTTCTTTTTCACGCAGTGCTTCCGCCAACTGTGAGGATATGGATTCCCCCCAGTCAATCCAGGATGACATGACGGAATACACCCCAAATGCTGAGAGTTGTTGGTAAGGCAAGGCATGGATGGTTGGGGTGGCAGTGGAAGGCTTTGTGAGGTGGGGGGGGGTCTATAGGTCAGCCTTGGTGACTTGAAGATGAGTGGGTTTCATTTCCCAGAATCCCCCAGCCAGGAGGCTTTAAGATGAGTGGGTTTCATTTCCCAGAATCCCCCAGCCAGGAGGCTTTAAGAGGGGTGGACTTCAACTCCCAGAATCCCCCAGCCAGCATCCTTTAAGAGGGGTGGACTTCCACTCCCAGAATCCCCCAGCCAGCCTGCTTTAAGAGGGGTGGGCTTCCACTCCCAGAATTCCCCAGCCAGGATGCTTTAAGAGGGGTAGACTTCAACTCCCAGAATCCCCCAGCCAGCCTGCTTTAAGAGGGGTGGGCTTCCACTCCCAGAATTCCCCAGCCAGGATGCTTTAAGGGGGGTGGGCTTCCACTCCCAGAATCCCCCAACCAGCATGCTTTAAGAGGGGTGGGCTTCCACTCCCAGAATCCCCCAGCCAGCCTGCTTTGAGAGGGGAGGGCTTCCACTCCCAGAATCCCCCAGCCAGCCTGCTTTAAGAGGGGTGGGCTTCCACTCCCAGAATCCCCCAGCCATTATGCCTTAAGAGGGGCGGACTTCCACTCCCAGAATTCCCCAACCAGTATGTTTCAGTTCACCCATGTTCGAATTGCCAAGGTCAGGGAAACTCAGCTATAGATTAATTGCTTACTTAATTAGAATTATTGATTATGTCTCCTTCTCCTGATGTGGCCTGACCTCAAGGTTTCCAAAAATTGATTGAAAGGCATGTATACGAAACGTGGATCCAGTTACTTGTGTATGTTACGTCTTTCTGTTTGTGTCTGTTTTACTGATAACAGATAACAGATAATCAGAGTTGGAAGGGACCTTGTAGGTCATCTAGTCCAACCCCCTGCTCAAGAAGGATGCTCCCACAACTTCCAAGTTGTTCGATTGGTTGAATTCCCGCCCCCCCAAACCTCATAGCATTTGTAGAGACCCTTCCAAGCAATTTTATTATTGGTTGCACAACAGCCTGCCTAGGTAGGCCAGTCTGATGCAGGCCTCGTGCCAAAAAACCACCCGCCTTCCCCAAACCTGGGGAGATGTGGCTTGCCCCCTTTCTTAATCTGCACCCCGAAAAGGCCCCCAACTTGTTTTCCCTTTTCCGCAGCACCAACTCAACCCAAAATTGTCAGCCGAATTCTCGTCGTAAGAAGCTGAAAAAATATCTCTTCCGGGCGGTTTCGGAAGGGAATCTGGACGACTTACAGAGCGTTCTGGCGGAAATGAAGGACCGGTCACACCGGTGCCAAAATCTGACCGTCAAAGGTTGGTGGCTTTTGTTCTACAGCGCTTAAAAAAAATAAAGGGAACACTTGAACAACACAATGTAACTCCAAGTCAGTCACACTTCTGTGATATCAAACTGTCCACTTAGGTAGCAACACTGATTGACAATTTCACGTGCTGTTGTGCAAATGGAATAGACAACAGGTGGAAAGCAGAGGCAGTTAGCAGGACATCCCCAATAAAGGAGTGGTTCTGCAGGTGGTGACCACAGACCACTTCTCGGTCCCTATGCTTTCTGGCTGATGGTTTGGTCACTTCTGAATGCTGGCGGTGCTTTCACTCTAGTGGTAGCATGAGACGGAGTCTACAACCCACACAAGTGGCTCAGCTCATCCAGGATGGCACATCAATGCGAGCTGTGGTAAGAAGGTTCGCTTTGTCTGTCAGCGTAGTGTCCAGAGCATGGAGGCGCTACCAGGAGACAGGCCAGTACATCAGGAGACGTGGAGGAGGCCGTAGGAGGGCAACAACCCAGCATCAGGACCGCTACCTCCGCCTTTGTGCAAGGAGGGACAGGAGGAGCACTGCCAGAGCCCTGCAAAATGACCTCCAGCGGGCCACAAATGTGCATGTGGCTGCTCAAATGGTCAGAAACAGACTCCATGAGGGTGGTATGAGGGCCTGTTGTCCACAGGTGGGGATTGTGCTTACAGCAGGACGTTTGGCATTTGCCAGAGAACACCAAGATTGGCAAATTCGCCACTGGCGCCCTGTGCTCTTCACAGATGAAAGCAGGTTCACACTGAGCACATGTGACAGACGTGACAGGGTCTGGAGGTACCATGGAGAACGTTCTGCTGCCTGCAACATCCTCCAGCATGACCGGTTTGGCAGTGGGTCAGTAATGGTGTGGGGTGGCATTTCTTTAGGGGGCCGCACAGCCCTCCATGTGCTCGCCAGAGGTAGCCTGACTGCCATTAGGTACCGAGATGAGATCCTCAGACCCCTTGTGAGACCATATGCTGGTGCGATTGGCCCTGGTTCCTCCTAATGCAGGACAATGCTAGACCTCATGTGGCCGGAGTGTGTCAGCAGTTCCTGCAAGACGAAGGCATTGATGCTATGGACTGGCCCGCTCGTTCCCCAGACCTGAATCCAATTGAGCACATCTGGGACATCATGTCTCGCTCCATCCACCAACGCCATGTTGCACCACAGACTGTCCAGGAGTTGGGGGATGCTTTAGTCCAGGTGTGGGAGGAGATCCCTCAGGAGACCATCCGCCACCTCATCAGGAGCATGCCCAGGCGTTGTAGGGAGGTCATACAGGCACGTGGAGGCCACACACACTACTGAGCCTCATTCTGACTTGTTTTAAGGACATTACATCAAAGTTGGATCACCTGTAGTGTTTTTTTCTACTTTAATTTTGAGCGTAACTCCAAATCCAGACCTCCATGGGTTGCTCAATTTGATTTCCATTGGTAATTTTGGTGTGATTTTGTTGTCAGCACATTCAACTATGTAATGAACAAAGTATTTAATAAGAATATTTCATTCACTCAGATCTAGGATGTCTTATTTTTGTGTTCCCTTTATTTTTTTGAGCAGTTTACTTCTGCAAGGGAGGAAAAGGTGAATTCCGTGGCCGGAATAATTTTAGGGGGGTGGGTTTGGATGCCCAGAATGAAGGAGGCACCCGCTTCCAGGGGACTACAAGGGTTGCATTTAGGAGCATCCTTGTCAGAAATGTCCAGAGAAGCATGGAAGAACGACCCTATTTTTTGTGAGTTTGGTCCAGTGGTCAAGGCACCAAGTTAGAAACTAGGAGTCGGTGAGTTATAGTTTTGCCTTAAGTAGGAAAGTTGGCTTTGTGACTTTGGGCCAATCACCAGGAGATAGTGAGTTCTAGTCCCACCTTAGCCATCAAAGGCAGCTGGGTGACTTTGGGCCAATCACCAGGAGACAATGAGTTCTAGTGCTGTCTTAGGTACGAAAATTGGGTCGGTGATTCTGAGTCGATCATTAATAGACTGTGAATTCTAATCTCGCCTTAGACAGGAAAAGGGCCTGGGTGACTTTGAGCCAGTCCCTCTCTCTCAGCCCAATCCACCTCACAGGGTTGTTGTTGTAGTAGGGAGAACAGGAAGAGGAAGACGTATTGGATATGTTTCTCGCTTTGATGTATTTGTAAAATATAAAGGTGGGATATAAACAAACAAACCCATTGTAAAATGTTATTTGACTGGGGACATGGTAGGACATCGACTTTCTGGGAGGGGATCCAGTAATTTTATGAAGTAACTCTTTCAAAGCAAGAAATAGTTTCTGGTCGTTTAAGATGAGGTGAATGGTCACATTCTAGGAGAAATAGGGAATTTCTCCAGAATGTTCTGGCTTAATCCAGAATGATCTGGTTTTCTCCAGGAAGGTTTAGTTATCTCCAGGACGGTCTGGTTTTCTTTGGAAAGTTCTGGTATTCTCCAGAACATTCTGTTCTGTTTTTTTCTCTAGAAAACTCTGCCATTCTTCAGAATGTTCCGGCCTTCCTTCCAGAATGTTTCTGGCTTTTCTCTAGAAAGTTCTTGCTTTCTTCAGAGTGTTTTCCATAGAATGCTCTGGTTTCCTCTACAAAAGTTCTCCAGAATGTTTTCCTTCCTTCAGAAAGTTCTGGGTTTCCTCTAGATATTTCTGGCTTCCTCCAGAATGCCCTGGCTTTCCTTCACAATGGTCTGGTTTTCTCTGGAAAGTTCTGTTATTATCCAGAACATTCTGTGCTTGTTTTTTCTCTAGAAAATTCTGGCTTTCTTCGGTGTTCTTGTTTTCTGTAGAATGTTCCGGTTTTCTCTAGAAAGTTCTGGTTTTCTCTAGAAAGTTCTGGTTTTCTCTAGAAAGTTCTGGTTTTCTCCAGAACATTCCAGTTTTCATGCCGTGAATGTTTTTCTCCAGCATGGCAAGCTTTGTCCATTCACAATAAGAAACATTAATTCTTTTTGCGCCCCGCCCTATGAACAACTGTTTGGATCCACATCACCACATGACTGGACACCTAAAATTACTTCATTAATTTCTTTTAAACGAGCTTTTGGTACAATTAGGCCTTCTCATTTGCCTCCCAACAAAGGGATCGGTAATTTCCTCCTAGTTTACACAGCAGTAGCGTTCCCAATCAGCCTTAATTAACACGGAGGGACACCTGGGATAATTTCCTCCTTATTTTACAGAATATCTGATGAATAAAATGACCTCTTCAGACACCGGGAAGACCTGCCTAATGAAAGCTCTGCTGAACATCAACCAGAACACCAAGGAAATTGTGAAGATGCTGCTGTCGTTTGCAGAAGAAAACCAAATCCTCGAAAAACTCATTAACGCGTCCTACACGGAGGAAGCCTATAGAGGTAAATTGGTGCCAGGGTTGAACATTTTGCAAAAAAGAAAAAAAAAAGAAGTGTCAGAGAATTGCTTCTCTTCTGCACCCTGGGAAGGCTCCAAAAGGTGGAGAACAGATAACAGATAATCAGAGTTCGAAGGGACCTTGTAGGTCATCTAGTCCAACCCCCCTGCCCAAGCAGGAGACCCTACACTATTTCTGACCAGAGGGCAGTCCAGTCTCTTCTTGAGAGCCTCCAGGGATGAAGCTCCCACAACTTCCCAAGGCAACTTCTGTTCCATTGGTTGAAGTTGTCAAAAAGTTTCTCCTTATTTCCAGGTTGAATTTCTCCTTGTTCAGTTTCCATCCATTATTTCCTTATCTGGCCTTCCGGTGCCTTGGAGAATAGCTTGACCCCTTCCTCCTCTCTGGGGCAGCCCCTCAAATACTGGAAGATTGCTCTCCTGTCTCCCCTGGTCCTTCTTTTCCCTGGACTAGCCAAGCCCAGTTCCTGCAACCGTTCTTCATATGTTTTAGTCTCCAGTCCCTTCATCATCCTGGTTGCTCTTCTCTGCACTTTTTCCAGAGTCTCAACCTCTTTTTTGACATCTCTTCTTCGTGGCAAGCGCTCAGATATTGTAAGATGCTATCATGTCATCCCATCCTTCTTTTCCTTAAACTAGACATATCTTCTGTCCATCCATGGTTTGCTCAGATGTCTTTCTCTCTTTCTTTCTTTCTTTCTTTCTTTCTTTCTTTCTTTCTTTCTTTCT